CAGTGCTATTAACCAGAAAATGAAAATTCCTTGAACAGATTACACACAAGTCTTGTCGGTGCAAGTGTCACTGTTTCAGGGGAAGGCTCCCGGAGCCCACACTGCCAGTTGCGGGGATGAGTTCTGCCTAACGGGAAGTTTCTTTACAGCCCGCATCTTGCACGTTAGCGTTCTCCACCCTGAAGTGCGCTGCTGTGGGATCTCCAAGGGATCTTTGTGGTGGTATTTATGACTGCGCAGCTGAATGTGTTCATTTATTCCCTAGGAAATGGTTTTGTTCTTCCTTTGTTTGTTTAGGCAAGAAATTGTTGTGAGATGTCCAGAATTTTAAGTGATTCTGCCTCAGAGCCCGTGTTAGAAACTATAAGGATAGTTTTCTCAAAGGTTTCTCAGTTTTGGGTTTCTGGAACCGGTTGTGTCCTTCCCATCCTACTGGGACTTACTGTTGTTAGCAACCTCCTGTGTGGTTCTAAGATGTCCTGACCTCTTTGAAACCTTTCCAGGTGTCATTTGCCACTCTCTTGATCTCTGCAATATAAGCCACATTGTTTAGTGGAGTGAAGTTCTGTGAACTTTAGAAATTCTCCCGGAGACTGTGAATTGACTAACACCCAAGGTAGCATAAACATGCAGACACAAATGTTCCTAAAACCAAGCATGCTGGGCAATGCAGGATATGACTTGGAGTCTGGCAAAAAGGAACATTTTGATCATTTGAGCATCTCTGACCAGCTCCAGGTGCAGCCTAAGGCTTTGTGGCAAGCTTTTCTGATCCTCAGCTGTAACCTCTCATTAGAACACAGCAGCATTCGCAACTGTGGATGTAAGGAATTCCATAAAGACCCTCTGGGCCTATTAGGGTCTCTGGCTTCAGAAGGTCCTAGAACACACTTACTTCAGCATGCATAGATGCAGGAAGGAGACACAGATTCCCACAACGTTGTTTTAACCCAAAAGAAGATGAAAATAATAACATCTCGTCTTAAAATTTGCCTCCAGGGATTGCAGTTATATATTAAGAGAGAGACAGACACGGCTAACACTTGTGTTTTCGGTTTGTCATGAAAAGTTCCTATTGTTTGGGATAATAGAGTTAAGACTTCACAGAGGTTCATACTTGGACTAAGAATCTCATAGCAGTCTGGCTTAACTCTGATTGGGCCTATTATACCAGTGATTTCTCAGTTCTTCTTTTAACACCTCACAGCTTGGCTATTCTAAACAGATAAATCATGCTGCCAAAAGTGAGGGGAATGAGACAGTGTTTCAGAAATAACACTATACTGAGAATAAAAACACAAAGGATTCAATCCCAATTCTACCACTGCCTGATGCTTGTGTTTGCTTTCTTATCTACACAATACACATGCAAGCATGAAGACTACATATGACTGCTCTAAAAATAAAAACAGTACTGGATTGAAAAATGCAGCAGAGTGTACCAAGGGTGGGTGCAGTGCTGACAGCAGCCATCCATCCCTTCTTGCTGTCCTCTTCTCCATTCAGAAACTCCATGTCCACAGCATGGAGGTTCCTGAGCCAGCCATTTGGGATTGTTTTTTAATACTTTAAATTTTTATTTGGGGTTGGGGGGCAGATCTTAGGAATTAAGGAACAGACAAGCAGATAGAGAAAGCACTTGGCATTTGCCAGTTCATTCAATTGCCCACAGTGGCTGAGAATTCAATCAGGTATGTCACTTGGGTGGCAGAAACCCAGGCATTTGAGCTTTCACCTCTACCTTCTAGGTCTGGATTAGCAGCAACACTGGGATCAGTGCCCAGAGCCAGATACTAAACCCAGGCACTCCAATGTTGGCGGGGCATTGGCGGGGGGGGGGGGGGGGGGGGGGGGGCTTTTGTTTCCTTAATGTTTCCTTTAAAAATTATTTCTTTTTAGGTTCCGGTATGACAGCCTAGTGTCTAATGTCCTCACCTTGCATGCACCGGGATCCCATATGGGCACCGGTTCTAATCCCAGCAACCCCACTTCCCATCCAGCTCTCTGCTTGTGGCCTGGGAAAGTAGCTGAGGACAGCCCAAAGCCTTGAGATCCTGCACCTGCGTGGGAGACCCATTCCTTTCCATCTCTCCTCCTCTCTGTATATCTGACTTTTTAACAAAAATAAAATAAATCTTTAAAATTTTATATGTTTATTTTCAAACTCTCGAAAGAACAGCGTAGGGAGAGCGAAAAGAGAGAGAAGAAAGGGAGGAAGAGAAAGAGGAGACAGATGTATTTGCTTTGTCCACTTCCCAAATGTCATGAATAGGCAGGAGTAGGCCGGGCAGTAGTCAATATCCAGGAGCCCCATAGGCCTTCCACATGGGTGGCAGTAGCCAAGAACTTGACCAATCTTCTGGTGGCTCTTAGCAAGCATTATCAGGGTGCTCGTTCAGAAGCAGAGTATCGAGGACTTTAACTGGTACTCATACATGGGATGTGAGTATTCCATGCAGTATCCTAACTTGCTGTACCATAGGCCCCCCACCTCCCAATGGATATAAATGTCTTTTTTTTCCCTCAAGATTTATTTATTTTCATTGGAAAGGCAGATATACAGAGAAGAGGAGAGATAGTGAGAAAGATCTTCTGTCCGATGATTTACTCCCCAAGTGAAGTCAATGGCCGATCCTATGCCAATCTGAAGCCAGGATCCAGGAACTTCTTCCAGGTCTCCCACACGGGAGCAGGGTCCCAAGGCTTTGGGCCATCCTCAACTGTTTTCCCAGGCCACAAGCAGGGAGCTGGATGGGAAGTGGAGCTGCCGGGATTAGAACCAGCGCCCATATGGGATCCTGGCACGTTCAAGGCAAGGACTTTAGCCGCTAGGCCACGCCCTGGGCCCGGATATAAATGTCTTAACTAGCATAACTGCCAGGCCACTGCCAGCCCCTGAGCCACTTGTTGAAATGATCATCCTTCCAAGCGTGGCTTTAGTGCCTAAGGCATTCTGAGAGTGACGGGGGGGGCCTATGCTAGCCATGCAATTATCTGCCCAGGACTACAGGACTATGAAGACCATTAAGCTTCTCGTCTTGGCCTCCTGGTGGCTGATGCCTACAGCTTATATACTGGAGTGAAGGGACTTCAAGCATAGCTTCTCAGAGGCGTGTGCTCTGCACCAACAGTTCCCTGCTGGGAATGCAACGGCCATGGATACCTTCAGAAGATCTGTAAGTCTTACACAACATGTGCTACCTCAGCATGGTTGAGATTAAGTGTGTGGTTGTTTCTGCCGATGTATCTGCAAGCTCTCACTTCTGCAATCAGTTCCCAAACAAACCACCCAAAGGAGCAATTTTTGAAACAAGCCATCCTTTAACTACATCACAAGGGCAAACAACTTAAGCCGCTCTCTAATAAGGACATTTCTTAAGTGAAGAATTTGAAAATAAGGGCATGTGATTCACCCTAAAAATGTAAGTACAGTATCTTTTCCTGTGAGAAAGTTCTGTAGGAACTTTCATTTTTAGAAGATACACAGATTTAAAGTTTTAATGTTTTTGCCAGACTTATCTGAATATATTTAACTATGAAATAAGAAATATTATGCCTTATCTACTTTAGTAAATTTGAAATTAATAGTGTGGTAATATGTTGAGAAATGAAGTAAAAAGGCAGAATCTGGGCCTGGCATTGTAGCCTAGTGGCCAAAGTCCTTGCCGTGCACGCCTGGAAGCCTGTATCAGTGCTGGTTCTAATCCCAGCAGCCCTGCTTCCCATCCAGCTCCCTGCTTGTAGCCTGGGAAAGCAGTCAAGGATGTCCTAAAGCCTTCGGACCCTGCACCCGCGTGGGAGACCCGGAAGAAGTTCCTTACTCCTGGCTTCGGATCAGCACAGATCTGGCTGTTGCCGTCACTTGGGGAGTGAACTAGCAGATGGAAGATCTTTCTCTGTCTCTCCTCTCTGTATATCTGGCTTTCCAACAAAAATAAATAAATCTTTAAAAAACGAAAAAGGCAGAATCTAGCTACTGGGGGTCCGGGGAATGAGCAAGCAGTGGCAGCAGTGGCAGCAGCAGAACATAGCCTGAGGCTCTACCATACTCTGAAACTGCTCTATAGACCAGATGGGAAAACTTGCTCACTAATCTAATGACTTTCCTTTAATCATAAGCAGACAGTAGTTTCCTCATTACCCAGAGTTTGAGAAACACATTATTCTTGAGAGTACTTCCTAGGATTTCTTTTACTCATTTAAGACCACATCTTTGTACTTAATTCATCCTCAGATTATCCCTGCGGGCACACCCCTCTAATTATTACCATCAAGAGCGACAGGAAAATAGAACCGCACTGCTTGGAACACCGATATCCTTCGGTCTGGGCACTGTTTGTCATCCTGCTCACAGTGTCATGATCATGAGCTGTTCTTGCAAGACAAGGACGTTTAAATCACACATTTTAAATCAGTAGTGTGGTAGTCTGTTGAAGAATGAAGTAAAAAGGCAGAACCTGGGCCTGGCTTGGTAGCCTAGTGGCTAAAGTGATCTACGTGACTTTCCAAGAGCCAGGTTCAAGGGTGTTCCAGCAAGAAGTCTGCACGAGCAAACATGGAACATAATACACAGAGCCTGATGCTTCAAGCATGCCATGCACAAACCTAGTGTCTTATACTCAGTCTCACAACCCAATGGAGTGGTACTTTTGTTCACCTTTATTTTACCTTTGAGAAAACTGAAGCACAGAACATAGGGCAAGGTTTCACTGTCAGGCACCAAAGCTGTGTATTTTGGTTTTTGAGCCCAGTCTCAAAAAGCCAACACAGCCTGTCACTTCTGCCCCTTTTGCCACCCAGAGAGATGCTTTCCTGTCGGAGGAGCCCACTGGGCACCCATCTCTACCCCCTCTCTGGGCTTCCCTCAGGTGGAGCTATCTGGCTGTCATGCCTGAGGAACCTTAAGAAGCGAAGTGACTTGGACTCAGGACACAGAGGCAGAATTCAAGGAGCCTCTAGCCTCAACCGCTGCTGAGGCTGTCAGGCTGCTGCATGGGTACCTGTGGGGATTTGTGAGAGCGCCAGCTGTACTGGTGACGGTGGAGACTCGTCAGCAGAATGTTTTCATCAGTATCCACCTGACCAAACCGCAGTGTCTCCTGTGTGTCATTACAGATCACAAAATGGCTGAAGACCAACTCCTCTGCTTCAGGGCATTTGTTCTGAAAGCAAAAAAAAAAAGGAAAGCCATCATGTATCAGATTAATTGCAAGATGTTTGGCAGCTGTCTGCCCAGTGGCGATTGTTACAACCACAGAAACCCTGAAAGATCTGTTATCATTAGCTCTGGTATACAAGTCTATACTCTGGCCCGTTTGCATGCACACACACATACACACCACAATATTTTGAAGAGATCTTCAATGTTCTAAGAATGTGTTTTGATTTATACTCCTATGGAATAAATCACACACAGAGAAGAGTAAAAGAACAATGAAACCCCTCAAACTTTTAACATTTTCTTAAAATAAATTAACGTGTTATAAAAGAATGGTTGTCTTGGGGAGTACACGATTTGAAGCACAGTACCGGAGCTAGAATTACCATATTTCCAGACTTCTAACTCAACAATCAAGACCAATTACCAAAGCCGCAGTTTGTACCCTACAGAAAGTAAGGATCATTTAGGTAATACATCCCTACATCCCTTAAGGGGGAGAGTACGCGTGTATGTGTGTGTAAATCTGCTTAGGGAAAGATGTAAATAAAACCATAACTTTTCCTTTATTGCTAAGAGGCTGAACACATAAAACAGATCAACTTCACAGTCAGAGTAAGCCAGGCTGCAGTTTTCAACAGAAATAATGTTAGCTCAAAACTGGTTTTAGTATCTGTTTCAGCTAATAGTCACCAATTACCGTTCATTAATCAGATAAGGCTCAATGCCTTTTTTTTTTTTTTTAAAGACTTAACATATATCTGAAGGGCATGGCAACAGTGAGAAAATACTGGGGGAGGGGAAGAGAGAGTGAGAGAGAGGAAGACAGAGAGAGAGAGAGATACAGAGAAAGAGAGAGAGAGAAACAATGAATGAACAGGGAGATCTTCCATCTACTGGTTCACTCCCCGAACAGCAGCAACAGGCAGGCCTGGGTCAGGAGTCTGGGTCTCCACCTGTGTCTCTCAAGTGGGCAGCAGGAGCCCAAGTACTTGGGTCATCATCTGTTGCTTTTCACCTACATTACCAGCAAACTGGACCAGAAGCAGAGCAGCCTGGACTTCAACAAGTGCTCTGATATGCTGGTGTTGTAGGCGGTGTCGTAAGTCGCTGCACTAGAATGCTGGGACACCTCCTTTTTCCAACCTCATGTCTCCAATGGCTGCTATTGGATGCTGGTTAAGACCCTTGCAAGCCATTATCAGAGTACCTGATGCTGCTGAGTATCTGGTTAAGCATGTTCATGAAGACTCAGGAAGGCATCAGGTGACGGTGCAAGTACTTGGGTTTCTTCTACCCAAGTGACAACCCTGGACAGATTCCTTGGCTCCTGGCCATCAGGCATTTAAGCAGAGAACCATGTATGTGGGAGCACATTCTCTCTCTGCTCAAAACAGACAAACGAAAACCACTGGTAACATGATAGAGTATTTCTGAGCTTCTTTTTAACTTATTTATTTATCTTACCACTCTTGGTTATCTGATGGCTAAATAATCTAGAAACACACTTTTGGTGAGCTGAAAGAATAGCTAACTAATTGATAAAGCTGAGACTATAAGAAAAAAAGCACAATCAGCAAATCGATTTGCAACTAAACAGAAATCAACCTATAATGGATGCATCTCCGGTCACTCTCTATTTCCTGACTATAGATCCAAATAATTTCAAAATACCACACTCCCTCTTTTGTCACTTTACTGATGAGATAAAAAAAAAAAAGATGTGGGGAGGAGGAGAGGGATACAATGCAAAAGCACAGTACTTTAAGTATTTCAGGAGGCACATGTGTGGAGTAGCCTGTGCACTAAAAACACCCGAAACTGAGTCTGTTCCAAGATCAGACTGGGAACTGCATCAGAAAACAGAGACAAAATCAATTGTCATTCGTCACGCAGCTGAAGCGGTGGCAGGGTCCTGTGGCTGCAAGTGGCGAGCAGGTCCTGAGGCCATTCTTCCTAGATTTCCCACGCCTCTATCATCCATCTAGTCTCATGGACATGGACTCTATTTTCAAGCAGCTGCACCTTGTTTGAAAGTCACACAGCCTCTGGCAAAGTGAGACCCACAGTGATACAGTTACCACCTCTTGCTCACTAGAATACTCTACAGTAGCTTTTAGTCATTAGTGAGGGTTTCAAAACTTGCCTGCCTCGAAGACTCAGATGTCTTGTCTTACTTGGGCCAGCCCACAGTGGCAGCTCCATGCTGAGCTACTTTTTTCTTTTTGGATGACATTTGCTCAGGACACCCCAGCTTTCCCAGTCTTTACAAGCCCTCCTACAGGATACCATGTTCTTCTATCCATTCACTGCTTCTTGTGCCTCATTGCCTTCCTTCCGCGTTCACTTCTTTTTCCTGTGCCTCTTGCTTGACCACCTACACAAATTCCGCTGCCAAAGATTCTGGTTTTCAGGTCACTTCCTCAGAGAGCAGCCTTCAGAGACCCTCTCAGCTCACTCTCATCTGATTAGGATCCCCGGCTCTCTGTTTACACAACATTCTGTCATTGTATCTTCACAGCATTTGCTAATTTGCACCACCTGCATTCAACGCCCTTTCCGTGATTACTCCATGGTGCCTAAGATTGACATTAAGTCTGGCCTAATTTTACCACTTATTATTCAGCCTACTGCTTGACACATAAGTACTCAATAAATACTTAGGAATAGCTTTTTAAAAAGTTTTTATTATTAAAACTATAATTAAAACATTTTTAATTATTAAAACTAGACTTGTAATATATGTTCACATGTATAAATTTTGGAAAATACAATTTAAATTTTTTTTCTAATTTTATTCTTAGTGATAGCTGCTACTACTATTCTGGTGAATTTTTTTAAAATAAATTTTATTTTTTATAATGATTACATGGTAGGTCAGTGTGGGAAGGATGAGGGCTTAGGAAAAATTGGGTTGAATTCATTGCTTCCAAATTTGCTATTTCTTCTTGCCATTCCTGGGGGAAGAGGAGACAAAGGGGAGTACCACTCATGACTTTCCACACATCCCAATACTCAGGGATAAGGAACCGCCACCTCAGGTCAACCCAGAGTCTCAATGTGTACGTATTCCTAGGGTTCTGTTCAAGTGGTTTGGATCGTTCTGAAATGCTGCCGATTTCACCAATCTGAGGATGATGTCGCCCTCCCAATGTCCATTGGCTCCATTCACTGAGCTTTTTTGCTGTCATTGTTTGACTGGGATAGTTGTCCAGTTAGTTCTGTTCTTCTGCTACAGCACAAAATGAGCTGCTGTATTCTTTTACAACAAGGCCTGTGTCCACTGCTCTGCCTTTTTCATTAAGTAGCACATGTTCTTGCAGGCAAATCCAAGGACCCAGGCCAGGCATTCCAAGTATTACCAGATCCCTGACCCTTCAGGCTCACAAACCCAATACCGACTTAGTATGCGGGCTTCAGGACCCTGGCCAGGAGACCCAAGCCCCACAGGATCCTCCACGTCTGAGACTCACGAACCCAATACCTACCTAGTAGGCAGGCTCTAGGACCTGGACCAGGTGACCTGAGCCCTGCCAGATTCTCAATCCCCGGGGTTCACGAACCTGACACTCATCTAAAAGGTAGACCCCAGGATCTGCGCCAGTGGCAGGGGTTCCCCTATCCCCAGGGCTCAGGTATGACTCAACTCACCTTAGCATTCTCAGTCTTATTGCACAGTCTGGCCTAGTCTAGTCTGCCTCCTGTTCCAGCTCCTGTTTGTGGGTGCTGCAGCTTATCCCAGCCCAGACTGATTGCTGTCCTGGCCCTAATGTGAACTGGTTGGTATGGCAGCTTGACCTGGCCACTCCTACCCCCTGCCCTGGTTCTCAGATCTGCCACTGGGTGTTATGAGTTGGCCCACATTGGTCTGTCTCACATGTATAGTGGTGGGTACTGTAACCTGGTGTTGTCTGGGCTGCTCCTTGCCTTGCTTCTTGTGCTCACCTGCAGGAACTGCAATCCAATAAAGGAGTTTCCCAAGCTCCTCCATCGAGTCTCCTCCCAGTGGCAGTTTTCACGCACACCAGTGGATCATATCCCAGGTTGACTTTGTCCACCTCCTGTCCTGGCAAGAATAGTGGCCTTGTTCAACCAGCCACACCCATTCTGGTTTTTGTTGGTAGTTGCAGCCCAGTGACACCTGGTCTTTGCCTAGATACAGCTTTTACGTAGTTCAGTGGGAATCAAAACCTAGCCTGGCCTGTTCTACACCCAACATAGCTCTCACGAGTACCAGTGGGGGCTGGAGTCTAGGCCAATCTAACACTCTACAATCCCAGAGCACACCCACACTGGCACAGGCTGTAGCCCTGTCCAGCCAAGCCTGTTGCCCCCCATCCTACTCTCACCCTCAACAGTGGGAATTTTATTTTCAGTGATAACTGCCACTAATATTTTGGTGAATTTTCTTCGATCAATTTTTCTCTTTTGATTGTCCTGTTACTTATTACAGCTTATCCTATCCAATCCCATCTTACACACTTGTCTACAAACCTTTAATCAAACTGGAATTATAGTGTATAATTAGTTCTGATGAGATCTCTCCATTGAGCATTATATAATCAACAGAAACTGCTTTTCTTGTAAACATATTTCTCTCCTTACGGTTTATTGTACAAACATGAAGAAAGGGATATGATTCCAATCTCCCACTTAGTTACACATCCTGAGATTAAAATTCAGTTTTCATAATGAATTGCGATCAATCTGCCGCTAACAGGGCGGTTAAGTTACCAGATGGGGCCTGAGTGGAAGAAGAAAATCAAACTGCTTTCCTCATTTCTAAAAACTGACCTTTAATAAGTGATGAGGGTTTTAGGAAAAAATGTAAATTAAAGAACACAAGGGGGTTGTTTACATTTTTCTAAAGAATACTCAAGATCCTAAGGGGGCTGTTTGTGTACAGCTCCTTCATCTGTGGGGTCCATTCCAAGTGTACTAAGTGTAAACGCTTCTTGGACTGTTCCACAGTCTGGTATATTATCAAATAGCTCACCCACATCCCATGAGATAGCACACTGGTACACACTGGGTCTTGGTGTGCTCACTTGGATGGAGAGTTAAGGCTCATGGTGTGCTACACAGGCATGTGTAAGTCAAGGGAGATACTAGTCTAGTTTTAGAGAAGATGCACAAATACAGATTTGTTTTAAAAGAATAGCTTTTACATGCTATTTCGTCCAAATCTAGGAATGCGATATAGAGATATAAAAAGTACAAGCGACATTTTTGATTCCTTAATCCAGCTTCACAAAACAGTCATCAGTTATTAAAAAAAATAATTTGCAGTAGAAAAATCAAACACTGACTAAGGCTTCTTTTCATCTTGAACAGTGGAAGGCCAAGCCGTTTCATGATTTAGCTGTCTGGTCCACCCGCACTTGGTAAAAATGACTTATCTCTGATATGAATCCAGTAAGAAATACGTGAGAATTCAAATTCCTTATCCTGCTTATTAAATTCGTATTTCTCACTGGCAACAATTATTCCCCGTGTGTGCACTGTACCCACAATCAAATCCAAGTACGGAAAACTCAACTTCCCTCTGAAAGGGATAAACCGCACTGAGACTATCATAGAAACAATGAACCTAATAAGCCTCTATCAGCTCATTTCAATGTCAAACGCCCAAAATTCCAAGGCAGTACACTTTGTATTTACTTTAGAATACAACAGGGTTAGATGCCTACCACATTAAAACTTGGTGGCAAGTACCCTTGACAGGGGAGGAAACAAGAAAATTACAGCAACAATTACAGAAGTATATCCTCTTGTGGCTCATGTTAACATTGCCAAATCCCTGTATAAATCAGAAACAACTATTCATAGACTGTACCTGTCAGCAATATGCTACGTGACATATGGCTCTACTTAATCAAATATACAATTCCATTTAAAAAAAAAAAACTCAAAATATTCCTTCAAGGCACTATGTTAGCCAGTCATCCATTCGCACTCTGATGTGGTTTAAAACATTTAAATATTTATGCACCATATTTTATTTATATGTATAGCTGTGTCTAAGAGAATATGTTTACCCTGGGAGGAAATTGATATTTCTGAAGGCCATTTTGCAGTAGTTGCTACACATGAGTCCTCTTATAATGGCTCTGATACCAAGACAAAAATCTCCTGGGTTTAAAGGCTCTATCAATGACTCTTTTATATTTTCTAGGTTTGTTTTTTATTAGATGCATTGTTCAAAATATGACAAAAAAACAGAAATTGGAGCCATGGAGGTTTTTTTCACATTGCTATTTGAACCAGCTGCAAAGATTTAGATCACACTAGCTCTTATTTTACGCATGTCCTTTGCAACAAGAAAACCATGGAATGCCCTTAAAAAAGATCTTTAAAATACAAAACAGATGTGTTATCTTCTTTCCCTTTTCTATTGTAGTGCCATGTTAGGTAATTAATTCCTTAGTTTTGTATAAGTCTTCATGCATATAAAGAAAGCATTAAATTTTATTCCCATTAAAAAAAAAAACCCCTAAGTTAGTAAACTAAAAATTCCTTTTAAAGAAGATTTATTCTATAAAAAATCTATTTCCATAACAATTCTAAAGTTATTTCCATAAAAATCTTCCAAAAATTCTTTTTCTTTAGTTTCAGAAGAATTCTTAAGCTAGAGAATGAAAGCCCCTCCCTGCTGCCCCAGAAGAAGTTCAGGGTGGGATGGATGATGAAGGCCCATTTCTCCCCAGAAGCCAGCTCCACACAAGTGCATGTGACGGAAAGGACATCCGAGGAAATGTGTCAGCTTAAATGGTCACACAAATCTAAAAGAGATAGGTCTTAACACTAAAAATCAGTAACTGAAAGCAGAAGTGATTTGTTCTTAAACTTCTAAACATAGTAACATTCCAACAAAATTATTTTCATGATAATACACACATGTTTCCTACTTTAAGTATGCCATTTTTTGGTTAGACTTCTACCTCATTCCTTTAAGGTACTTATAATTTCTGATAAGACTCAATAACAGATCATTAAAAGAGTGAAGAGTTTTTAACTGATTCAAAAAACCCATTATCTAGGATTGTTTTAGGAACTTAAAAACAATGAGTACAGGAAAAATGATGACCATATTGTGCTCACATATTTCATATCATTTTTTTAATTTGAAATCTGGAATGCTTATTATTTGAAATGTCTCATACAGGTTTATCACTTCTGCAATGGACACTTAGACAATCTGATACATAGCTAAGCTGAAGTTTTGGCAAACAGCAGCTACAACACTTGGAAAAAAGGTCCAGGAATATGTTACTTTCCATACCAATGTGGTGTATTACTCACAAAAATGTGGGCATGATCTCTGATGTGTTTGTAGAGAACCATACTCTCCCAAGTTTAAAAAAAAAAAAAACTGCCAAAACAGGGAAGGCCCCAAATATGATGATCCCTATCAAATTTTGCAATACCTGTCATTTGTGTGTTTGACTTATTAAAAGCTGGAACGCATCTAGCACCTAATACGAGAGCACATGTGGTCAAACTGTAAGCCGTTCGGGAACGTGCATACCTGTTGCCAAGCCTGTACTGCGGTGTGCAGAGAGTGCACTGCGTGCTGTCCGACGTCTACACACACACGGTCCACTGTCACAGTGCAGTCCAGCAGCCTTTCTAGCGCGTCACTGGAGACAGCAATCTGTCCACAGAGGCCGAAGGGCTTCACCACGTTCTGCATGGTAACATTTCTGCATTCTAGCAGTCTACAGTCGGCTTGAGCTGAGAAGCGGATCTCCTGGCTGACCGAATCATCATTCCACTGTCGAAGGTACACGTGTGGCTCTCTGAAGGCCACAAGCATGTACTCTAGCTCAGATGGCACATTTTTATCTGAAATAAATGGTTGTAGGTACTGTGGTGGAGCTGTTAATAAAATAAATGAGCAAAGGGGGAGTTCAGAAGAGCCAATAATTGAACTTAGCATTCGATATTCAATAACTTCAAACACTTCTTAGAAGACCACAGTCTTTCAATTACCATTTTATACTTGGAAATAAATTGATTTGGTTCATTCTGGCTTCTAACACATGTATGCACATTTTTCAAATGTTACTCTTTTACAGACAAATATTTGATCACAGAATGCAACAAAAAAATGAAGAAGAGGTAATGCCAAAAGGGAGTTTTACAGAAATTTTCTGTTATCTACCAACCATATCTTGAAAACCTGACTCTAAGAGAGTTTGGAAAAGCAGGCTGAACTCAATTTTTTGCTGAAAAGGCAAGATGCTTAACAGCAGCTGTGTTTGGTTTTAATCTGATTTCCCCTCTTTTTTTCCATTATATGTAGGTTGAAAATCTAATGCCTGATTCAAAATTTTTTAACTAGGAAATGTTTGGAGTGGATTATAATGCTTTAGAATTAGTTATTCAAGCAACACTGGCAAATTTATAAAAGGTCACTTTCAGTGTATGGAGGGATTTATTTCTTCTGCACTTGGAAAAAATTTGAATATATTGAGAATGTGCCCATCTTTTATAGAAAGTATTCCTACATTTGAAATTGGGCCAACACCATGTACTTTTGGAATCTCTTCACCACGAAGGTAGTGTCTCAGGATAAAAAGCAGAAACAGATGTACTTTCTTCAAAAAGTTCATAACTGGAATAGTGAAATTTGCATTTTTGTCACTTCTTGGAAAACTCTTGCTAAAACCATGTCCATTCAATATCACCAGTCACGTTTAGAACAGGCCTGGCTACAAGGGCTTCACAACTATCCTTCCAGTGCTCACTTTCTACTTCCTGAGAATAAATCATCTGGCTAAATCCTGATCAACCCACGACAGAGAACACAGCACTCGGTGGATACTATTCTGAAACCACTGTGACAAGTACCTGTGCCCAGCTGATCAAGGTGATGACAAAGATGGAATTCCAGGTAAGCGAACTGTAAGGAAATGCAGAGAGATGGGACGAACCACGGGGTGAAACAGGAGTCGACTCTGGTACAGGCAGCCAGGGCTGTTGGGGTTACAAGTTGATCACAAGTACTCTGAGAGCCAGATTCACTTGCAGAGCTATAGGGGAAAAGTAATAAAATAAGTTCAATTACCTACATTTCCCTATGTCATATAAATGATAAAAACCTCCTCTTTCTACAGGAGTTTATGAAACCTGCACCACAAATCCCAGAGTCAATATATTATCATTAGATCTTGTGCATTAAATCCATAAAAATTCATGTTTTTTTAAAAAGTTAAGTTCTGGTTCATTGTTTTCTATGAATTGTTGGCAGACAACTTGCAAAATCTCCTTAACTTCCAGGTCATGGTGACCTGCTTCCAATCCAATTTTCTTCTATCCACATCTCCCATAACTTCTGAGCAAGTTGCTTGCCTATAAACTGAAGACCAAAACAATTCAGGTAAGACTCAGCTGCTCAACAAACTCAATATTCTGTTTCACTCTAAATGTTTCACTTCAGTGTTGCTGCTCCAGCTTGTCTCTACCCAGATTCACTGTTTTTGAACACTGAGTACCATACTAGGTGTCTCAAGAAGACAGGACCTATGGACAGTTAGTGTGCACAAGGTCCCCTCATCACTGGCTCATCTTAACACAATTTTACATTAAAAAAAATTGATTCCAATGGTTAGTGATGGCATCCATAGGAAGGAAGACAGATGAACACAGCAGTTGCAGAGGGGTGTGGGAAGCCTGTTGCCTAGGTCCCTTTAGCGCTTATGGAAGTGAGTGCGCTGAGGATGGTGGGGTGTGAGGACCTGATGCATCCTGCTCACTGTGGATCACTGAATCATGTTGCCTTTCCCTGGCTGTCCATCTTCTATCTCTTCCCAATCTGACATTTGTTCTACAACTGTGGTAGCCTGGCTTCCAAATCCAAGAGAAACCTGGATAAAAGATATTGTGATTTAGAACCTCCTAGGAAGAACTATAACAAGGAAAACTACAGAAATATATCCTTGGTTTTTCAGAGAGCTCACAAAGAACTCCCTGGTGATACTCAATACGCAGACATTTACATGAAAGAGAAGTATCACCCAGGAACCAGGGAAGTCAGAAACGCTGCCAGAGTGGAAGCCCAAGACTCAGAACAGCATGGGGTGGATCATATGGGATTCTCAGAGGTGTGAATCTTCAGTAGCTTTGAAAGAGGTTATGCAAAGGGCTGGTGAAAAGGAAAGCTAGGGACACCCCAACATGTTTACTGAGTGCTTTAACCTCAGTGCGTTTACTGTTACATGGTGGAATCTGCTGCAATGTTAGCAGTCTCTACACCAAGAAAACCAAACTCCCAAGCAGCATGTTACTGACTAAAACAGGGCAGACAAAAATACAGCTAAGTATATTCTTACAACATCCATAAACGGGCACACCAATCCAAACAACTTTCTAGGAATTTATCTACAGAATTACAAATAAAGTGTTTCATGGTAAGGTAAAATGAAAGCTTTCAGAGACGAGAATATATTAGTTCTACGTAGTTATACATGTGTTTTACACATTTGAACTCCTTCCCTTAGACTAAAGAAGTTGTTAGAAATAGGGTATAATGTTAGTCAAAATATTATTAAAAAATCCAGGCGAATGTTCTACTGAGATCAGTTTTAAAACAGTGAGCATATTTTATCTGAAGTATTTTTCTTGCCAACTATAATTTTTGACACAGAAATTTTCCAAGATTTATTTTTCTATCTCTTGAGAGAAGAAGACATTACAACATTTTGGAAAAGGTTGCTAAAATACCACGAGTATTTGCACAATCTTTTTTTTTTTCAGTTTAGATTATATTATTTATTTAAAAAGCAGTTAGAGGGAGAAGAAAGGGCAAGATAGAAAGGGAGAAAAAGAGGGTGGGAGGGAGAAAAAGATATGTGTGTGTGTATCTATAGATCTATCTGTATATAAATTTATAGAGATATTTGTATATCTATCTGTATGTGTATAGACAGATAGATAGAGAGTGAGAGAGAGAGAGAGAGATCCTACATATGTTGGTTCCCTCTCCAAACGCTTCATTCAGCCAGGGCTGAGCCAGGATGCAGCTAGGAGCCTGGAGCTTCACCCAGGTCCCCCAATGAGGGCATTAGGGGCCCAAACACTTGGGTTATCTTCTGCTGCCTTCCCAGACCCGCTGGCAGGAAGCTGGATTCAAAATGGAGCAGCTGGTACTTGAATCAGTGCTCATAGGGGATGTTAGAGTCACAGTCAGCAGGTTAACTGGTTGTGCTACAACCCTGGCTCTGTAATCTTTCCTAGAACAAATTAAGTATCAATTTTTTTTCCTAAACTAAATGCAAAAATCAATGGTTATCAAGATATTTTTGGTATATATGGCAATTCCTGAATTATAAAAATCAATACTTTAATCTTTAAAATCTTGGCTAAAATAGATACCAGTTTATTCTACATTCAAAAACATATTTAAAAACAGGAATATTAAAACCAAACATATCATAAACACAAAATTGATACTGTATGTAGATCTGAATATACTTGAACCGTGTTTCAAATTGGCAGCTATATAGTTTTTAAATATTTTAACTTAACTTGGTACTATATGCAATGAAGGTAACATTTATGTATTCACTCTTTACACAGGATTAAAAACATGGAGGTGTAACAAACTAAGTGTTCATGAGTGAAAGCTCCATTTAGAGATTCCAGCAGCGGCAGAATTTCCTTAGTCAGACATGATCATAGGACTTTATCTGATTCAGATAACAAAAAGAACAATACATTTTTATGAGATGCGGCAGAGGCAGAAATAGAGAATCAAAGCAAATAGCTTATAATGTACAACATTTATATTTAAGAACTTCCTTGTTCCTCAAAAGGTATTCCAAACAGGTCAAAGTCATGGCCATGGGCAGTGTTCAGAGGACTCTCTGGACTGTTTATTTTTAACATGGTTGGTAAATGGCTGCTAGAGGGAAGAACTCAAAAAGCAATACTCAGAGCTCAAGACTCAGTAGTCTGTTCAAACACCTGTAAATTCAAATAGAAATGTAAATGTTCGCAATAGTGAGATTCTAAATATTGGAGAACTTGGCAGGGGTTTTACATATTAACCTGCATTTTAGCACAAAGGTTACTTATAAATTCTCCCTCAGAACCTTTGAGAGCAAAATTTTAAAATATTTATTTTATTTATCTGAAAGACAGAGCTACAGTAAGAGTCACAGAGAGATCTTCCACTTACTGGTTCACTCCCCAAATAGCTGCAATGGCTGGAGCTGGGCTGAGCAGCAGCCATGAGTCTGAGCTCCTACCAGGTCTCCCAGATGGGTGCTAGGGCCTAACTACTTGGACCATCTGCTGCTGTTTCCCCAGGCTCATTAGCAGGGAACTGGATCAGATGCAGGGTATTGCAGGTGGCTGCTTGGCTTAACCCATTAAACCACAATGCCAGATCCAAGTGCACCAATTCTTTCTCTTTTTTCTTTATTTCCTTCCTTGTTTGTTTCATTTCTTTCTTTCTTTCCTTCCTTCCTTCCTTCCTTCCTGATTATGAAGTCCTGAACTTAGTTTTGTAATATAGCAAAGAAATGAAGTAGAAAATGAGAAGGGTGAGAGAACCTTTATTAAAATGAGCACACAGTTATACCTTATAATATTAGTAAAGCTAAATCCATGGGCCAAGTCTGAATATTTTCATTTGTCACATGAGTGAGTGTATTAAGCAGATTTACTTTCCAAGCACTGAGATGCCGAATGCAAACTACTCAGCACACAATGTCTAGCATTCCAGAACAGAAAATAACCCTGCCCCTCCTGGTACTGAATGCTTAGAGCAATTTCCCAATATTCACAGCCTAGTTCCTCCACGCCCTTCAGTGCCACTTCACAAACACTCTCCTGTGTGCTGCACGGTCAACAGCACTCTGCCTATCGTGTGGAGTGCCCACAGGAGGGCCAGGGATCCTGGGACAACATGTGTGCCTACCACACCATGTTGTTCCCACTTCTGAGAGCTGTCGTCTTTCACATTTCTTACCCTGAATCCCAAATAGCAAACAGACTTTTACTACAACTCAGTACACACAAATATAACAGAAGGCCAAAGGTTCCTGAAAACATAAATATATATTACATTTTTACTGTGACACACACACACAGATTTAACATAATCATTTTATTTTTCCACATAGAACCTCTGTGTCCATTAAACAGTAATTGCCCATTCTCTCCCTCCAAGCTCCTGACAGCCACCTCTGCAATTCCTCTTCAGCACACTGACCACTTTTGACTGTCACATATAAGCTATATCATATGATATTTCTTATTATCATGCTGATATTTTGTATTTTACTAAAAATTTCTGGTTGCAACCAGATACATTATTTTAAGACCCACTAATGTGCTGCAATCTGTAGTTTTAAAAATAGCCTCACACCAAATCTCAGGTGGAGTCCTTCAAGGATAACTAGAGAGAGGGAGGGACTGGGAGGGAGAGAGGGAGAGATGTTGAAGGCCTGCCCCTCCTCCTCCCACAAAAGCCAGACCACAAGATGTCCAAGGGACCCCCAAATCTCAGACATTCCTGGCATACTGAGAATCATGCAGGAAGCAAACTCCTGCTGTGACAGTGGGCCATCTTGCTCACGCAGTGTGACTGGATGGGTGTGAGGCGTCTTTACTATCATTTCCATTTTAGCGATTGTGACCTGAATGCATCTGAGTACAAAGTCCTGTTAGATTCCTTTTCTAGTTAGATCTGCTTGTTTATTGGTATTGGTTCCTGCAACTCATGTCTACTTCTCCAGTTGCCTGAGACCTGGTGTTTGTTTTCCAAATCCCTTGTGATCTATTGTTGGAGCAGATTATATGATAGTGTTTAGTTAACTTGTAACTTTTATAAACCTGCTTGCTTTACAAAAAATTGAAAATTTGCCACAGAAAAATTCAACACAGTGTGCACTGGTTCATAAACGCCTTTGCATCCCCTCGGTCCCAAATTTCTTCTCAGCATGGATGTCACACTTGAGTCCTGGTTCCCACTAGAGGGACCCCTGAGAGAGAGAAACCAGGAGGGAGGGGGACAGGAAGAGAAACA